CTAATCAAGGTGAAAGAAGAAAGCGCAAAAGCCGGGTTGCAGCTAAACGTCAAAAAACCAAGATTATGGCAACAAGAATGATTGACAACTGGAAAATAGAGGGAGAAAATGTGGAGGCCGTGACAGACTTTGTATTTCTAGGTGCAAAGATTACTGCAGATGCAGAATGTGGCCAGGAAATCAGAAGACGCTTACTTCTTGGGAGGAGAGCAATGTCCAATCTCGATAAAATAGTAAAGAGTAGAGACATCAGACTGGCAACAAAGATCCGCCTAGTCAAAGCCATAGTATTCCCTGTAGTCACCTACGGATGTGAGAGCTGGACCTTAGGGAAGGCTGAGCGAAGGAAGATCGATGCTTTTGAGCTGTGGTGTTGGAGGAAAGTTCTGAGAGTGCCTTGGACTGCGAGAAGATCCAACCAGTCCATCCTCCAGGAAATAAAGCCCGACTGCTCACTGGAAGGAAAGATACTAGAGACAAAGTTGAAGTACTTTGGCCACATCATGAGGAGACAGGAAAGCCTAGAGAAGACAATTATGCTGGGGAAAGTGGAAGGCAAAAGGAAGAGGGGCCGACCAAGGGCAAGATGGATGGATGGCATCCTTGAAGTGACTGGACTGACCTTGAAGGAGCTGGGGGTGGTGACGGCCGACAGGGAGCTCTGGCGTGGGCTGGTCCATGAGGTCACGAAGAGTCGGAGACGACTGAACGAATGAACAACAACCACCACCTGTCAGCAGCAATTATTTATTATTATTATTATTGACACAAATAATAATAATAATAATAATAATTGTGTTTATTTATATTCCACTTTTCCTCTCTAAAAAGAGAACCAAAGCAGCTATCAGAAATAAAAAATACACCATTCAAAACCTTAAAAAACACACAAGCACTAAAACAGATTGTTAAAATCATTAAAAACCTATTGTCACAATACATTTTTCACTCTGCCCCCCTGGATATGGTTGCCTAAGCCGTGGACATCCGATTTTAAAATTTCAGCTTTTACCACCAGAAAATTCTTCCTAAAATTGAATCAAAACCCCCTCTCTTGCCATTTGTATCCTTGGGTTCCAGTCTTTTCCAGCAAAACAGAAAACATTCAATTCTCTCCTTGTATCCATGGGGATACATTCCTGGACTCTGCCCAGATACATAATAATGTGGATAATAGCAGACCCCGATGGAATGAAGGACGCCTGACTCATGGAGTGGTGCTGGAGAACTTGGAAATGCGTATAGTTGTGGATAAAGGAAACCATGGAAACAAGTCCTGTGGTTAGACCGTATTTGTTCTATATTCCTCTTCAGAGAAAAGTTCTGCCGGTGGCATGAAAGACAGGCCACCGACTGAATGAATTACATAAGAGGAGGGTATTCACATACGAGAATAGTGTTCATTCTCCATTCAAGATTATTCAATACGTCTCATCTAGCTGGGGTTCGCAACAAGACTCTTGAGGACCCTTCCACACTACAGTTCTGCTTTAACTGCCACGGCAAAATCCTATACAGTAGAGTCTCGCTTATCCAACCTTTGCTTATCCAACGTTGTGTATTATTCAACGCAGTCTGCCTCCCATATCTAGTTGGGGCTCACAACAGGACTCTTGAGGACCCTTCCACAGCAGAGAATTATAGCACAACAATTCTGCTTTAACTGCCACGGCAAAATCCTATACAGTAGAGTCTCGCTTATCCAACCTTTGCTTATCCAACGTTGTGTATTATTCAACACAGTCTGCCTTCCATATCTAGCTGGGGTTCACAACAGGACTCTTGAGGACCCTTCCACAGCAGAGAATTATAGCACAACAATTCTGCTTTAACTGCTATGGCAAAATCCTATACAGTAGAGTCTCGCTTATCCAACCTTTGCTTATCCAACGTTGTGTATTATTCAACGCAGTCTGCCTCCCATATCTAGTTGGGGCTCACAACAGGACTCTTGAGGACCCTTCCACAGCAGAGAATTATAGCACAACAATTCTGCTTTAACTGCTATGGCAAAATCCTATACAGTAGAGTCTCGCTTATCCAACCTTTGCTTATCCAATGTTGTGTATTATTCAACGCAGTCTGCCTCCCATATCTAGCTGGGGTTCACAACAGGACTCTTGAGGACCCTTCCACAGCAGAGAATTATAGCACAACAATTCTGCTTTAACTGCTATGGCAAAATCCTATACAGTAGAGTCTCGCTTATCCAACCTTTGCTTATCCAACGTTGTGTATTATTCAACGCAGTCTGCCTCCCATATCTAGCTGGGGTTCACAACAGGACTCTTGAGGACCCTTCCACAGCAGAGAATTATAGCACAACAATTCTGCTTTAACTGCCACGGCAAAATTCTATACAATAGAGTCTCGCTTATCCAACCTTTGCTTATCCAACGTTGTGTATTATTCAACGCAGTCTGCCTCCCATATCTAGTTGGGGCTCACAACAGGACTCTTGAGGACCCTTCCACAGCAGAGAATTATAGCACAACAATTCTGCTTTAACTGCTATGGCAAAATCCTATACAGTAGAGTCTCGCTTATCCAACCTTTGCTTATCCAACGTTGTGTATTATTCAACGCAGTCTGCCTCCCATATCTAGTTGGGGCTCACAACAGGACTCTTGAGGACCCTTCCACAGCAGAGAATTATAGCACAACAATTCTGCTTTAACTGCTATGGCAAAATCCTATACAGTAGAGTCTCGCTTATCCAACCTTTGCTTATCCAACGTTGTGTATTATTCAACGCAGTCTGCCTCCCATATCTAGTTGGGGCTCACAACAGGACTCTTGAGGACCCTTCCACAGCAGAGAATTATAGCACAACAATTCTGCTTTAACTGCTATGGCAAAATCCTATACAGTAGAGTCTCGCTTATCCAACCTTTGCTTATCCAACGTTGTGTATTATTCAACACAGTCTGCCTTCCATATCTAGCTGGGGTTCACAGCAGGACTCTTGAGGACCCTTCCACAGCAGAGAATTATAGCACAACAATTCTGCTTTAACTGCCACGGCAAAATCCTATACAGTAGAGTCTCGCTTATCCAACCTTTGCTTATCCAACGTTGTGTATTATTCAACACAGTCTGCCTTCCATATCTAGCTGAGGTTCACAGCAGGACTCTTGAGGACCCTTCCACAGCAGAGAATTATAGCACAACAATTCTGCTTTAACTGCTATGGCAAAATCCTATACAGTAGAGTCTCGCTTATCCAACCTTTGCTTATCCAACGTTGTGTATTATTCAACACAGTCTGCCTTCCATATCTAGCTGGGGTTCACAGCAGGACTCTTGAGGACCCTTCCACAGCAGAGAATTATAGCACAACAATTCTGCTTTAACTGCCACGGCAAAATCCTATACAGTAGAGTCTCGCTTATCCAACCTTTGCTTATCCAACGTTGTGTATTATTCAACGCAGTATGCCTCCCACCTGGATCCACAGGTGAGGGAAGTGGAGTGTGTATTTACCTGTGGAATAATGTCCAGGGTAGGAGAAACAAAGAACCCATCTCTGTTTCAGTGCTAAATTTGTAAACACAGTAATTACTACCCCCTTGCTTCTTGGATTCAGTCAAGGATGAGGTAAAACTGTTGCTCTGAGTTGAAGTCCATAGAGTCGCCATAGTTGAAAATTAAATGGAAACCCTTCCAAATAGAAAACAGCAAGAAATGAGAGGAAGACTTCATTCTTGGTGGATGGATCCAGTCAAGGATGAGGTAAAACTGTTGTTTTGAGAGAGTTGCCATAGTTAAAAATGAAATGGAAACCCTTCCAAATACAAAACAGAGGAAGAAATGAGAGGAAGACTCCCTTCTTGGTGGATGGATCCAGTCAAGGATGAGGTAAAACTATTGTTTTGAGTTGAAGTCCATAGAGTTGCCATTGTTGAAAATTAAATGGAAACTCTTCCAAATAGAAAACAGCAATGAATGAGAGGAAGACTCCCTTCTTGGTGGATGGATCCAGTCAAGGATGAGGTAAAACTATTGTTTTGAGTTGAAGTCCATAGAGTCGCCATTGTTGAAAATTAAATGGATGCCCTTCCAAATAGAAAACAGCAAGAAATGAAAAGAAGACTCCCTTCTTGGTGGATGGATCCAGTCAAGGATGAGGTAAAACTATTTTTTTGAGTTGAAGTCCATAGAGTCGCCATTGTTGAAAATTAAATGGAAGCCCTTCCAAATAGAAAACAGCAAGAAATGAAAAGAAGACTCCCTTCTTGGTGGATGGATCCAGTCAAGGATGAGGTAAAACTATTGTTTTGAGTTGAAGTCCATAGAGTTGCCATTGTTGAAAATTAAATGGAAACTCTTTCAAATAGAAAACAGCAATGAATGAGAGGAAGACTCCCTTCTTGGTGGATGGATCCAGTCAAGGATGAGGTAACACTGTTGTTTGAGTTGAAGTCCATAGAGTTGCCATAGTTAAAAATTAAATGGAAACCCTTCCAAATAGAAAACAGCAAGAAATGGGAGGAAGACTCCATTCTTGGGGGATGGATCCAGTCATAGATGAGGTAAAACTGTTGTTTTCAGTTGAAGTCCATAGAGTCGCCAAATTAAATGGAAACCCAAATAGAAAACAGCAAGAAATGAGAGGAAGACTCCCTTCTTGGTGGATGGATCCAGTCAAGGATGAGGTAAAACTGTTGTTTTGAGAGAGTTGCCATAGTTAAAAATTAAATGGAAACCCTTCCAAATACAAAACAGAGGAAGAAATGGGAGGAAGACTCCCTTCTTGGTGGATGGAACCAGTCAAGGATGAGGTAAAACTGTTGTTTTGAGTTGCGGTCTCTCATGGATAGACTGAGGAGAGTTGAGGTCTCTCATGGATAGTTAACAATGACTGAGGAGAGTTGCTGAAGGAGCCAAGTTGAGAAGTCCTGGCTTTCCTTCCTGTGTTTCTTCTCCTTCTGAGGGCGTTCAAAAGGCGTGTTTCCAGTGAACGTGGGGACCCTCCACTTGCACAGAGGATGGCCCAAGAGTCTCCCTGGGTCATGCCCTTCCTGGAGGCGGCCCCCAGGGCTGTCTAGGGCGGAGAAGAGGGCGGAGAAAAGGGCGAGGAGAGCAGGAAGAAGGCGAGCGAGCGAGCGAGGGCTGAGCGGGGGCGCCATGTTCGAAGGAGACGCTTCTGAGGTAAATTGTCCTCAGGGAGGAAAAGCGCGGGAACGCCAAGAAGGAGGAGCGGGAGGACGGTTAACGGCTCTGAGGATTCAAATTTCCCCTCAGCCGTTGAAGCCACTCTCTCTCGGGTGGGTCCCTTCCACACTGCCATATAATCCAGATTATCAAGCCAGCTCATCCACATTGTCTGCTTTGAACTGGGTTATGTGAGTGAGTCTACACTGCCAGGTCAAAGCAGATGAGCTGGATTTTAGAGAAGAAGGGGCCTCAGGCTGGATCCACATTGCCACATAATCCAGATTATCAAAGCAGATTATATGTGGCCCCTTCTACACTGCCATATAAAACCCAGATTATCTGCTTTGGACTGGATTATATGGCAGTCTGGACACAGGTACCGTCTACACTGCCATCTATTCCAGATTGTCTGCTTTGGACTGGATTATATGGCAGTGTGGGCAAAGGTCCTGTCTACACTGACATATATTCCAGGTTATCTGCTTTGGACTGGATTATATGGCAGTGTGGGCATAGATCACGTCTACACTGCCATATATTCCAGATTATCTACTTTAGACTGGATTATATTGCAGTGAGGACATAGGTCCTGCCTACACTGACATATATTCTAGATTGTCTGCTTTGGACTGGATTATAAGGCAGTGTGGACATAAATCCCGTCTGCACTGACATATTCCAGATTATCTGCTTTGGACTGGATTATATGGCAGTGTGGACATAGGTCCCGTCTTCACTGACATATATTCCAGATTATCTGCTTTGGACTGGATTATATGGCAGTCTGGACACAGGTACCGTCTACACTGCCATCTATTCCAGATTGTCTGCTTTGGACTGGATTATATGGCAGTGTGGGCATAGGTCCTGTCTACACTGACATATATTCCAGGTTATCTGCTTTGGACTGGATTATATGCCAGTGTGGGCATAGATCACGTCTACACTGCCATATATTCCAGATTATCTACTTTAGACTGGATTATATTGCAGTGAGGACATAGGTCCTGCCTACACTGACATATATTCTAGATTGTCTGCTTTGGACTGGATTATAAGGCAGTGTGGACATAAATCCCGTCTGCACCGACATATATTCCAGATTATCTGCTTTGGACTGGATTATATGGCAGTGTGGACATAGGTCCCGTCTTCACTGACATATATTCCAGATTATCTGCTTTGGACTGGATTATATGACAGTGTGGACATGGGCCTTATCTACACTGCCATATCATCCAGGTTATCTGCTTTGGACTGGATTATATTGCAGTGTGGACATAGGCCTCTTCTACAGTGCCATATAATCCAGATTAACAGGCCAGCTCATCCACATTATCATGGCAGTGTGGACATAGGTCCCGTCTACACTGGGTTTGAACTGGGTTATGTGAGTGAGTCTGCACTGCCAGTTTAAAGCAGATGATCTGGATTTTAGAGAAGAGGGGGCCCTCAGGCTGGATCTATATTACCATATAATCCAGATTATCAAAGCAAATTATATGTGGCCCCTTCTGTGTCATAAATACTTTTTAAAACATCACATTCGGCCTACCCGTAGATTTTAAAGTGTGTTGTCCTACTGTTCATGCTTATGTTATTGTTTTTTGTTTGATTTTAATTGCTTGTATTGTTGTTGTTATTGCTTGTATTGTTGTATTATGGGCTCGGCCTCATGTAAGCCGCACCGAGTCCCTTGGGGAGATGGTAGCGGGGTATAAATAAAGTTGATTGATTGATTGATTGATTGATAGGTTCTTTTATTCCGCTTTTAGTGAGACAGGTTGCATTAGGCACTTTCAGAGAAAGAAGTAGGCACAGACTCCAGTCCTGGGTTTTATAATAATGACATTGGTTACATAGACAAAGGGGGGAATATTGCATCAATGTTTACACATAGACTCTCACATTCAATCATTCATTCATCATTCATTCATTCATTCATTCATTCATCGAGCATTCTTACCATTCTTCTTGTTGAAGATGATCAGCTTCTTCGGAGGAGTTCACGATGGTGTTGAGAAATGGTGTCCAGTTGGTCTGACACACGCTCTCTGAGAGAAAAGGGTCCTTTTATGTGGTATTTTCTGTTGATGTGGTTCTGAAAGTCATAAATTACTGACAGACAGATTCCATCAGTTCCTGGACAGATGTTGATTTTGTCTAATTGGCTTTCCTGATCAAGGAGGCTTGTAAACATTTTTGTCAGGAGCCACAGTCTTGACTTCCTGACTTAAAAGAACCGTTGTCTTTGGCAACGTAAACAAGTTGTTTTTCCACCAAGAGTTCATCAAGTCAGAATGTCAACAGTTAATCATTTGTCTAAAATCTCATCAGCAATTTTTAATTAGTCCACGAGTTTTTCGCCTCTGTCTCGTAGTTTTCCAGGCCTCATTCCTTAGAATGGTATCTTCAACCCAATTGGGTCGCATTCGTACACCTTTCATACAATCTCACTCAAACCATACAGCATATTTTATCATGACATCTACACTGCCATATAATCCAGATTATTTGCTTTGGACTGGATTATAGGGCAGTGTGGACATAGGCCCCTTCTACACTGCCATATATTCCAGATTATCTGCTTTGGACTGATTATATGACAGTGTGGACGTAGGTCCCGTCTACACTGAAATATATTCCAGATTATCTGCTTTGGACTGGATTATATATTGCAGTGTGGACATATGTCCCATCTACACTGACATATATTCCAGATTATCTGCTTTGGACTGGGTTATATGGCAGTGTGGACGTAGGTCCCGTCTACACTGACATATATTCCAGATTATCTGCTTTGGACTGGATTATATGGCAGTGTGGACATAGGTCCCGTCTACACTGACATATATTCCAGATTATCTGCTTTGGACTGGATTATATGGCAGTGTGGACATAGGTCCCGTCTACAATGACATATATTCCAGATTATCTGCTTTGGACTGGGTTATATGGCAGTGTGGACATAGGTCCTGTCTACACTGACATATGTTCCAGATTATATGCCTAGGTTTTGTATTGTTGTATTGTGTGTTGAGGCCTCGGCCTTTGTAAGCCGCATCGAGTCCTTTGGGAGATGCTAGCGGGGTACAAATAAAGTTTAATAATAATAAAAAATAATAATGATCTGCTTTGCACTGGATTATATGGCAGTGTGGACATAGGTCCCACCTACACTGACATATATTCCAGATTATCTGCTTTGGACTGGATTATAGGGCAGTGTGGACATAGGTCCCGTCTTCACTGACATATATTCCAGATTATCTGCTTTGGACTGGATTATATGACAGTGTGGACATAGGCCTTATCTACACTGCCATATCATCCAGGTTATCTGCTTTGGACTGGATTATATTGCAGTGTGGACATAGGCCTCTTCTACAGTGCCATATAATCCAGATTAACAGGCCAGCTCATCCACATTATCATGGCAGTGTGGACATAGGTCCCGTCTACACTGGGTTTGAACTGGGTTATGTGAGTGAGTCTGCACTGCCAGTTTAAAGCAGATGATCTGGATTTTAGAGAAGAGGGGGCCCTCAGGCTGGATCTATATTACCATATAATCCAGATTATCAAAGCAAATTATATGTGGCCCCTTCTGTGTCATAAATACTTTTTAAAACATCACATTCGGCCTACCCGTAGATTTTAAAGTGTGTTGTCCTACTGTTCATGCTTATGTTATTGTTTTTTGTTTGATTTTAATTGCTTGTATTGTTGTTGTTATTGTTTGTATTGTTGTATTATGGGCTCGGCCTCATGTAAGCCGCACCGAGTCCCTTGGGGAGATGGTAGCGGGGTATAAATAAAGTTGATTGATTGATTGATTGATTGATAGGTTCTTTTATTCCGCTTTTAGTGAGACAGGTTGCATTAGGCACTTTCAGAGAAAGAAGTAGGCACAGACTCCAGTCCTGGGTTTTATAATAATGACATTGGTTACATAGACAAAGGGGGGAATATTGCATCAATGTTTACACATAGACTCTCACATTCAATCATTCATTCATCATTCATTCATTCATTCATTCATTCATCGAGCATTCTTACCATTCTTCTTGTTGAAGATGATCAGCTTCTTCGGAGGAGTTCACGATGGTGTTGAGAAATGGTGTCCAGTTGGTCTGACACACGCTCTCTGAGAGAAAAGGGTCCTTTTATGTGGTATTTTCTGTTGATGTGGTTCTGAAAGTCATAAATTACTGACAGACAGATTCCATCAGTTCCTGGACAGATGTTGATTTTGTCTAATTGGCTTTCCTGATCAAGGAGGCTTGTAAACATTTTTGTCAGGAGCCACAGTCTTGACTTCCTGACTTAAAAGAACCGTTGTCTTTGGCAACGTAAACAAGTTGTTTTTCCACCAAGAGTTCATCAAGTCAGAATGTCAACAGTTAATCATTTGTCTAAAATCTCATCAGCAATTTTTAATTAGTCCACGAGTTTTTCGCCTCTGTCTCGTAGTTTTCCAGGCCTCATTCCTTAGAATGGTATCTTCAACCCAATTGGGTCGCATTCGTACACCTTTCATACAATCTCACTCAAACCATACAGCATATTTTATCATGACATCTACACTGCCATATAATCCAGATTATTTGCTTTGGACTGGATTATAAGGCAGTGTGGACATAGGCCCCTTCTACACTGCCATATATTCCAGATTATCTGCTTTGGACTGATTATATGACAGTGTGGACGTAGGTCCCGTCTACACTGAAATATATTCCAGATTATCTGCTTTGGACTGGATTATATATTGCAGTGTGGACATATGTCCCATCTACACTGACATATATTCCAGATTATCTGCTTTGGACTGGGTTATATGGCAGTGTGGACGTAGGTCCCGTCTACACTGACATATATTCCAGATTATCTGCTTTGGACTGGATTATATGGCAGTGTGGACATAGGTCCCGTCTACACTGACATATATTCCAGATTATCTGCTTTGGACTGGATTATATGGCAGTGTGGACATAGGTCCCGTCTACAATGACATATATTCCAGATTATCTGCTTTGGACTGGGTTATATGGCAGTGTGGACATAGGTCCCGTCTACAATGACATATATTCCAGATTATCTGCTTTGGACTGGATTATATGGCAGTGTGGACATAGGTCCTGTCTACACTGACATATGTTCCAGATTATATGCCTAGGTTTTGTATTGTTGTATTGTGTGTTGAGGCCTCGGCCTTTGTAAGCCGCATCGAGTCCTTTGGGAGATGCTATTGGGGTACAAATAAAGTTTAATAATAATAAAAAATAATAATTATCTGCTTTGCACTGGATTATATGGCAGTGTGGACATAGGTCCCACCTACACTGACATATATTCCAGATTATCTGCTTTGGACTGGATTATAGGGCAGCGTGGACATAGGCCCCTTCGATACTGCCATATATTCCAGATTATCTGCTTCAGACTGGATTATGTGGCAGTGTGGACATAGGCCCCTTCTACACTGCCATATATTCCAGATTATCTGCTTCAGACTGGATTATGTGGCAGTGTGGACATAGGCCCCTTCTACACTGCCATATATTCCAGATTATCTGCTTCAGACTGGATTATGTGGCAGTGTGGACATAGGCCCCTTCTACACTGCCATATATTCCAGATTATCTGCTTCAGACTGGATTATGTGGCAGTGTGGACATAGGCCCCTTCTACACTGCCATATATTCCAGATTATCTGCTTCAGACTGGATTATGTGGCAGTGTGGACATAGGCCCCTTCTACACTGCCATATATTCCAGATTATCTGCTTCAGACTGGATTATGTGGCAGTGTGGACATAGGCCCCTTCTACATTGCCATATAATCCAGATTATCTACTTCGGTAAATAGCCCCCGGTGGCGCAGTGGGTTAAACCGCTGTGCCGGCAGGACTGAAGACCGACAGGTCGCAGGTTCGAATTCGGGGAGAGGCGGATGAGCTCCCTCTATCAGCTCCAGCTCCTCATGCGGGGACATGAGAGAAGCCTCCCACAAGGATGATAAAAATATTAAATCATCTGTGTGCCCCCTGGGCAACATCCTTGCAGACGGCCAATTCTCTCACACCAGAAGCGACTTGCAGTTTCTCAAGTCACTCCTGACACGCCAAAAAAAAATCTAATGTTTATGCTATCTGTGTATGTGATTTATTTTAATTGCTTGTATTGTTGTTGTTATTGCTCGTATTGATGTATTGTGGGCTCGGCCTCATGTAAGCTGCACCGAGTCCCTTGGGGAGATGGTAGCAGGGTATAAATAAAGTATTATTATTATTATTATTATTATTATTATTATTATTACTTTGGTGTGGATTATATGGCAGTGTGGACATAGGGCCCTTCTACACTACCATATAATCCAGGTTATCAGACCAGCTCATCCACATTATCTGCTCTGAACTGGATTATCTGAGTCTACACTGCTACATAATCCAGTTCAAAGCATATCATCTGGATTTTATACGGCAGTGTAGAAGGGACCCCAGGCCGGATCTAAATCGCTACATAATCCACATTATTTGCTTTGAAGTGGATTGTATGTGGCTACTTCTATGCTGCCATATAAAATCCAGATTATCTGCTTTGGACTGGATTATACGGCAGTGTAGACTCGGATAATCCAGTTCAGAACAGATAATGTGGATGGTCTGAGGATGCTTGCCATAGATGCAGGCGAAACGTCAGGAGAGAATGCCTCAAGAACATGGCCATATAGCCCGAAAAAACCTACAACAACCCAGACTTCTATCTCTATGAGTTTTAAGGTCGAAGGGGTTTTACGCTGGGGAGATGGGATTGGGTTATACTGAAGATTTATGTTTTAATTTCCGCTTATTAAATTGAGATGCTCCCTATTTCAGGCGCCGGTGGTGTTTGAGGATGTCATCGTTTATTTCTCCAGAGACGAGTGGCGGACGTTAGAAAAGTGGCAGAAGGATCTCTACTGGAAGGTGTTAAAGGATAACTATGAAGCGCTGGTCCTTGTGGGTAAGGAGGATCTTTTGGTAGAAAAAAAATGCCTCCAAAATGACTGTGGCCGATCTTTTTGTCAAAGGAAAACTCCAAACCTGTCTGTTCTCAGATGGCCTCACTGTTTTATGCATTTAGAAGGGGCCACAAGGGCCATCTTCTCCATCCCCTTCTGCCATTCATCGCCAAAAATGACCCAAAAAGCTACAGACCAATCTCCCTGTTGTGCCACCTCTACAAAGTTCTGGAGAAACTTATTTTGCATAGAATTATGGAAAAAAATAGACCTATGTCTGATCCCACAGCAAGCTGGCTTCAGGAAAGGCAAAAGCTGCACATCGCAAGTGCTGAACACGACTCAGCACACAGAAGATGGCTTTGAAAGGCAGCAGATCACAGGAGCTGTCTTCATAGACCTGTCAGCAGCTTATGATACCATGAACCACCGCCTCCTCCTGAGAGAAATGTCTAATATCACAAAGGACGACCACCTCACCCGCCTCATAGGAAACCTGCTACAAAACAGGAGCTTTTTTGTTGAGTTCCAGGGCCAGAGAAGCAGATGGCGGAAACAGAAGAACGGCCTGCCTCAGGGGAGCGTGCTCGCTCCATCCATGTTCAACATCTACACAAATGACCAGCCACTGCCAGAAGGGACAGAGAGCTTCATCTATGCTGATGATCGTGCCATCACCGCTCAAGCAGGGAGCTTGGAGATCATAGAATCATAGAATCAAAGAGTTGGAAGAGACCTCATGGGCCATCTAGTCCAGCCCCCTGCCAAGAAGCAGGAATATTGCATTCAAATCACCCCTGACAGATGGCCATCCAGCCTCTGTTTAAAAGCTTCCAAAGAAGGAGCCTCCACCACACTCCGGGGCAGAGAGTTCCACTGCTGAACGGCTCTCACAGTCAGGAAGTTCTTCCTCATGTTCAGATGGAATCTCCTCTCTTGTAGTTTGAAGCCATTGTTCCATTGCGTCCTAGTCTCCAGGGAAGCAGAAAGGAAGCTTGCTCCCTCCTCCTCCCTGTGGCTTCCTCTCACATATTTATACATGGCTGTCATATCCCCTCTCAGCCTTCTCTTCTTCAGGCTTCTTCGATGTTCAATGACAGGCCGAGCTTCTCGTATGCTTCTGCGAAGAGTGGCTTGTAGGTCTTCTGAGTGAGCACAGACGACATTGTCACCAACATACTAAAGTTCTATAATAGATGTTGTTGTAACCTTGGTTTTGGCTTTCAGTCTGCTGAGGTTAAATAGCTTGCCGACTGTCCGATCGATGATTTCCACTCCAGTGGGAAGCTTCCCATCAACAAGGTGAAGTCTCATAGCAATGAAGATGGAGAATAAAGTTGGGGCAATAACACATTCCTGTTTGACACCCAATTCCACCTTAAATGGGTCACTTTGGGAGCCATTGCTGTCCATGGCTGTTGTCATAATGGATGAGTGCAGGATGTTCACAAATTTGTTAGGGCACCCGATTTTTTTGGAGGATGGTCCAGAGAGCGCTGCGATTCACTGTGTCGAATGCCTTTGCAAGGTCAATGAATGTCATGTACATGATTGGACTTGGGAAGCCTGCTTTTCACTTCCAACTGAAATTATTTATTTATTTATTTATTTATTTATTTATTTATTTACAGCTTTTATATTCCGCCCTTCTCCTCACCCCGCAGGGGACTCAGGGCGGATTACAGTGTACACATATATGGCAAACATTCAATGCCAATTTTTGACATACAAACATATACAAACATACACAGAGGCTATTAACTTTTTCTGGCCGCCAGGGGAGCTGTTGCTTTCATTGTCCATCTGCGACGCTGATGAAGCACTTCCGCATTCCCCGCATGCTTCCCCGCTGGAATGCTTTGCTGGAGTCTTCTTTATGGCCTCATAAATCAGTTAATTTAGCCTCCCCACACTTTAAGGTGGTACTTAATTTTCCTACTTTTCCAACTGTCTTTTGGGTTGCAAAGGTCGACAACAGGCTACACACAATTGGTTGGAAACCCACTCCAACCCGGGCTGGCTTCGAACTCATGACCTTTTGGTCAGAGTGATCTTAATGCAGCTGACACTCAGCCAGCTGCGCCACAATTCACTTGTTATTCTTTTCCAGTTCCCAAAATACCAAACTGGAACCAACAGATAAGATGGTGGGGTTGCAGCATGTGGCAATCTCTTTCAGATCATTGTTTTTCCAGAAATATTTGTGTTTCCGAGAGAAGAATGGGAAGGCATGGAAAACGCCAGTCATTGGGATGAAATGCAACACATTGAAACCTGAGCCATTCTGAGTGTCAGTGTTTGCTTTGTCGAAGGCTTTCACCTCTCAACAGAACATTTTCCCAGGCTCAGGCAGGCCTTCAAATGCTAATGAAGGTGGTCAGCTGAAACATTCACACCTAGCTTCAGCAGAGAGCTCTTTGTCCCACCCCAGTCATTCCACAGATATATAAACCCATTGTCCTAATTCCAACAGACCTCACTACCTCTGAGGATGCTTGCCATAGATGCAGGCGAAACGTCAGGAGAGAATGCCTCTAGAACATGGCTCTATAGCCCAAAAAAACCTACAAGAACCTAGTGTTTGCTTTGTTTATCACATAATGTATTCTGTGTGCCTCTTTTTTTTTGTGAGCAGGGCATCCAGTCACGAAAGCGGATGTCCTGGCATGGATTGAGAAGAACGAATGTCCGAATGGCAATGGAGCTCGGCAACCCAAAACCAGTAGTCCATCTCAGATTTTTTGTCCATGTGAGTAAACTTCTTTATTCTAACAGTTCTGGGGGACCGAATATTAGAAAAAGCAAGTGAAGTACTGGGACTATATGTATGCAGTGTGTGTGTGGTATATTGTTTTAAAACTTTATATCCCACGTTAAATCCAAAAATATTAGCAAAGTATAAACAAAGACCTGTTTAGAACAACCAATAATGATATTTTTTTTAAAGATTGAAATTATCTTACAGTGCATCGCATTTAAAACCATTAGAAATAATTTAAAATAATAATAATAATAATAATAATAATAATAATAATAAACTTTATTTATACCCCGCCACCATCTCCTCTATGGGGTCTCGGGGCGGCTTACATGAGGCCAAGTCCATACAACAAATTACAATAAAATAAGATACAAGTTACAATAAAATAAACAACATCGCAGAAAAATACAGAACATATGACTACAATAAACAAAATACAAGAAAAAAAAGCAGTAAACCAAACATAATGACAGTGAGCGGGCCGCATGTACATAAAATGATTTAAAAACTCAGGGTGAGATAAAGGAGCAGAATTATTTGTGAGTGAGAACTCGTAGAGAGTCAGGGTGATAAACTGACCTTTGTACAAGGTGTGTGTGTGTGTGTGTGTGTGTGTTCCTAGGACAAAGACATTGAGGGGAGCAATAGGTTAAGAATATGTAACTACTCTCCAAAAGCGCAACGACAGTACATGTACATTTTATCCAATCTGTACATGCTTATAGCACATATACAGATTGTGGGTAAAATTAATTAGGACCATTTATTTATTTATTTATCGTGTCAGGAGGAACCAGACAGTTGTATTACATTCTTAACAAAACAAAGAAACAAACAAACAGACAAAACACAAAGTTTGCAAGCTTGGTATTCTATTAAATGTCCTTTGACCAGTATCTGGCCACTTGGAGTGCCTCTGGTGTTTCCGCAAGAAGGTCCTCCATTGTGCATGTGGCAGGGCTCAGGTGATATGTGAAAGCTGTGGCTTGGGAGGGGGAGAGGGGAGCACAGCGGTGAGGGATAGAAAATATGTATAAGCAGAAAAATAACACTAGATACCAAAGTTAATGTACTGAATAATATGTATCTGCTGCAAAATAAACCATGTATAACAAATGTATTAAACCATGATAACATAATAAAAAATATTTAAAAAAAAAACATCAGGAGAGGGATCCGAGGATGAGGAAGAATTTAATTGCACGAACCATAAATAAAGTGCTACTGAGGTCATTTAGTGCAAAGTTTTTGGTCAGGGAGTACCTTACGTTCAATCACTGAAGGCACATTGGAATAACCGGGTTTGCAGATTCCTCTTGAAGATTTTATTGAGCTTTAATTCCCCAGTCTTCACACAAAAGGATGATATGGAAGGTAGCTGGAAACCAAGAAAGAGTATTCAAGTAAAAGGCATCTCTTAACCAAATGATCTTCCAATGTCTGTTTTCTAGTGGCACTCACGCTTGCATGAATACGGCAATAGTAAAAGCGACCATGATCCATTTTAATTCAAAAAGCTGATTATAATAATAAAACAAGAAAGTGCATGTCTAAAAACTTCTTTAGAAAAGGAAATAGTTGCTTTAGTAAGTTTACATTTTTATACAGTTCTAATGAATTCATATTCTGGCCCAACTTACCTGTCTGAACGAATCTCCCCTTATGAACTTATGAACCTGTGAGGACTTTAAGATCATCTGGAGAGGCCCTCTTCTCGGTCCCGCCATCATCACAAGTACGGCTGGCGGGAACAAGAGACAGGGCCTTCTTAGTGGTGGCCCCTTGGCTATGGAACGCCCTTCCTAGGGAGATTAGATCGGCTTCCTCGCTCCTATCATTCCGAAAGAATGTTAAGACATGGCTTTGTGAGCGGCCATTTGAAAATACGGAGCAACGGATATAATAATGGAATAACTATATGGCGGAACTGGACATTGTTTTAACGAATATCAATTGAAGTATGTTTTATTATAATGTTTGATCTTATTGTTGCTGAAGTTTTTATATTGTATATATTGTAATTGTGTCCTTGGTGGCACTGAACTCTTGCTTTCTATACCGCCTCGTTTTTCAGTCCCTTTTTTGGGCTGAAAAAGCTTCCCTCGGCTTATACTTGAGCCAAGGTTATTTGTTATTTTACTCTGTTATTACTCTGTTATTAGTATTATTTTATTATATTTATATTAATACTCTATTATTATTTTTATTACATTTATTATTTTACTATATTATTATTGATATTGTTACATTGACATTATTTTACTCTATTATTTTTATTACTTTTATTATTTTATTATTTTACTCTATTTATTGTTGTTATTAAATGTATTATTTTGCTCTCTTTATTATTATTGGAAGGATACGTAAGCGCATTTACATTGAAGGAGGCTAGAATAATGGTTTTATCAGAGCTGGACAGTCTTACATTACAGTTTTATGTAAATATTCACAAACAGTTAACCTACTGGTATCTCAATTAATGTAATTTTATTGGTATCTAGTTTTATTTTGAAATTGACCAGTAACTGCTGCATTTCCCACCCTCGGCTTATACTTGAGTCAATACATTTTCCCAGTTTTTGTGTTAAAATTAGGTGCCTCGGCTTATATTCAAGTCGGCTTATATTCGAGTATATACTGTACTAAATAAATAAATAAATTATGCTTCTATTCTAGCAAACCAGAGACTTCCACAGATGTGCCACAAAGAAGGCATCGAACAGGTGGGATCTCTTCAGGATCTCTGTGGTGGAGCGAAAGTGGACACTTCCCTGTATTATGACGTCACGGAAAGCCATTCCCAAAGGGTAGTTCTATCGCCCAAAGAATATGAATCTGGGGAAAGTGGCCAGACAACGCGGCTGAAGAGCCTGCCTCGAACACGGCCACGGGTCAACGTGAGGAAGGCCTCTTTTCCTTGCCCCAAGTGCAAAAGGCGCTTTTCTAGCTCCTCATTCTTGAAGGTGCACAAGAGGACTCACTTGAGGGAAAATGGGTTGTACACGCATCACGGGAACGCCCTGAAGACGCTGCATTGTTGCACAGACTGCGGTCAGAGCTTCCACAGATACTTTGACTTCCTCCAGCACAGAAAAAGCCACCACATGGCCAAGCCCTGGCTATGCACTCATTGTGGGGATGTCTTTATGTCCCAAAGCGATCTTGCGCTGCATGAGGAGGACCACTTAAAAGAGGCAAACCAGGACCTTGCTGCATGTGGTCATGGACAAAATGGTCTCTGTGAGTCATCTGAGACTGGTGGCAGCCAGGTGGGCTTGGAGGATCCCCAGGAAGATGATGGCAAAGTGAGAAAGCTCTACCCTTGTGTTCACTGTGGGTTGCAGTTCAAACTAGAAATGAATTTGGGAGTGCATTACAGATACTGTCCCAAGGGGAAGCTGCTGAAATGGGGGGCAAATGGCAATCCCCAGGATGCAGAGGTTCCTGCCAAGCAAGGATCGCCCCAGTGGGCCTCTCCTCAGCATCCTTCACAAACATCTGCTAAGGTCATTTGCCCAGATCCTGGCCAATTGAGTATCCAGAGGCATCACCAGAAACTCCAAGTGGCAAAGCAACGAAACAGTACAGAGCCGGGCGGAAGTGCCTCCTCAGCTAACAGTTCTGGCGGGCCCTCGAAATCTTGTGCGACGAAGACGCTGCACAAATGTCCAGACTGCGGGGAGGCGTTTGTTTACAAGTGGCAGTTGGCTGCCCACCTGGAAAGCCACTCCGGGGGGAAAGGCTATCCCTGCCCCGATTATGGGAAGAGCTTTGTGCACAAAAGCAGCCTCTCGAGTCACTCTCTAATTCACCAGGAGGAATCCACACCGAGAGGGGAAGACCACCAGGAGAACCTTGTCCCGGCTGTTGACCACCAAGTGGACAAAGAGAAGTCTCTTTTTCCATGCAAGGTGTGTGGGAACACCTTCACAAAGTCATACTTGCGTTTGCACCAGGCGGTCCATGCAGGAATAAGGTACAAGTGCCTGATTTGTGGCAAGCTGTGCAACTTCCGGAGCGGTGCCATTTCGCACGTCAAGCACCACTGGAAGGAGGGGGCTTTCATCTCGTGCCCCAAATGTGAGGGGAAGGAAGGGCCCCACGCCGCATACTGTCACTGCAGGATAAAAAAGGTCTGCATCAATCCTCCTGGACCCTCAACGCAAGTGGCAAAGGAATGAGTCTGCACTCAAACCAGGGAAGGAGAATCACATTATAACGTAATTAGCATTGACCTTTTTGACTTTGGCAGGGGGGAAGACTTTTCAATCCCACCTCTGCCACCAATGTATTATAATTTAGACTATACGTGACGTAATTCGCCGCTGGACACCATTGTAAAATAATTAGCGGCTGACCATAGGTTAAATATATCAATGACCGATGCTTTTGATAGATATGACTGCCACCACCTCAGCTTTATTGGCCTGAGGAACCAAAAGGTGTGAGTGTGTAGAAGGTAAGGTGTGTTTGCCCTCTGTTCTTCTATTACTTCTTCACTGGCTGACCGGACCTTTAAAGAGATTTCTATTATTGACTTGACTTAGGTCTGAGGAGATTGACAGACTGAAGCTGACACCAGTTAAAAATGAACTAGAAAAGGTTTATTGATCTTTAAACAAATATCAACTCATAAAATGAGAGGTACAGAAACTTGATTCAGTTGTAGAGACTTAGTTAGGTTAAACAGTTAGTTCTACTGACAATAAAGCTTTCAAAACTGTGAGTTTCCTTAAACACACTGCTCTATTCTTAGAAACAGTATCACTTAGAGAACAGACTCCTATCTGTCTCACACACAGGGCAATAAGCTCTCTTAAACTTCTCCTAAGTATAAGAAGACAAGTCTTTCTTTTACTGGCCCTCTCAACACAGTAAAACCCTAGCCCTTGTCTCAACCTTATTCCCTATCCTTAAGGCTCACTTAAAAACTCTTCTTTCTCTGTCAGAACCCTATTTAGCTTCCTCTCCTAAAAATCCCTTCCTTCTGTGTCTGATGTCAAGACACTTCTCTCCTTGTCAAAAGCTGACAGCCTCTTTCCCTCTCTCAACCAACTCCTCCCCTAATTGCTCTGGCCAATCAGGAGTTGGCTTGACTCCTCCTCCTGCTTCTGCCTGTCTTTCAAGATGACAGCCACTGACTTTCAGGCTTCGGCCTGGACGCCTTAAAGGTAGATTTCACTACACACGTCCACAAATTGCTGCAACTTCAAGCAGGAAGAAGCATCCTGAATCTGATTATCAGAAGAACTCCCCTTGGAAAGTGGAGAGTAAACCATTTCAGTTCTCAGAAAAGTAATAATGTAGGAATATTTGGCATGTATAGCAGAGTAGAGCGTAGACCAGGGGACCTCAAACTTTTTAAACCGGGAGCCAGTTCACTGTCCCTCAGACCGTTGGAGGGCCGGACTATATATATATATATATTTTAAAAATCAATAAAAAAATCCCTATGCACCTTGCACATATCTTATTTTGCTGTATGGAAGGGCCCTTTGAGGGAGGGGGTTCTTTCTAGCCCTCTTTAGGCAGTAATTCCAGGAGCAGAGAATGGGAAATCTTCCTATTAGGGCTGGGCGGTTTCATTTCGTAATTTCGTAATTCGTTAAAAATTCGTTATTTTTTTAATAACGAAGCGATATTGAACCATTCAGGAGCAACTAAAAAACGAAACGAATTTTTCCAATTCGTTTCGTAATTGTTTTTCGTAATTGATTCGTTATTGATTCGTTATTATTTCCGCATGTCTGGTGCAAGTTTTAGGGTTGCTGTTTGTTTTCTCAGTGAAAAAAAAATATAATTATCACACCAACAGTCAACAACAGAGGGAGAGGGAAGCTTCAGAAGTTTTTTTAGCGTATTGCGCGATCGCGGCCGCCATTAACGAATCGATTCGTAATTGTTTCGTAATTTCCGAAATTTCGTAAATATCGAACTTTTTTAAAGAAAAATTTCGGAATTCTTTTAAATAACGAAACGCAAAAACCCCCTAAAAACGAATCGAGTTTAGAAACAAATTTTTCCATGGTTGCCCAGCCCTACTTCCTATTTCTAGTCTGAACAAAATCTGGCTACCAGTATTTAAAAAACTCTAAAATTATAACTGTAAATAAAGAACAACACTCAAACACAGGGGAACTCCAGACAAGAAACAATCAGGGCCAGCTAATCACCTCTCAACAAAGATTCTCCCTAAAAACTGTCAGGCTATGAAATGGTAATCAAGGTGGCCAATTGAAACATTCATACCTACCTCCAACAGACAAGAGTTCTTTCTCCCACCCTGGGTCATAGAATTATAGAATCATAGAATCAAAGAGTTGGAAGAGACCTCATGGGCCATCCAGTCCAACCCCCTGCCAAGAAGCAGGAATATTGCATTCAAATCACCCCTGACAGATGGCCATCCAGCCTCTGTTTAAAAGCTCCAAAGAAGGAGCCTCCACTACACTCCGGGGCAGAGAGTTCCACTGCTGAACGGCTCTCACAGTCAGGAAGTTCTTCCTCATGTTCAGATGGAATCTCCTCTCTTGTAGTTTGAAGCCATTGTTCGTGTCCTAGTCTCCAGGGAAGCAGAAGAGTTCTTTCTCTCACCCTGGATCTTCCACAATTTCCCTGGTTAAAGGTTTTTCTCTGACATGAAGTCCAGTCATGTCTGACTGGGTGTGGTGCTCATCTGCATTTCTAAGTCGAAGAGCCGGCGTTGTCCGTAGACACCTCCAAGGTCATGTGGCCGGCATGACTGCATGGAGCGCCGGGGCAGCCTCCCTTGGCTGGCTCACGCTGCCCATCAGGCCTGATGGGCAGCGTGAGCCTGCCAAGGGAGGAGCAGCCCCGTGCGGCCTACTCGCTCGTAAAGCACCTTGCGAGGTGCTTTACGCAAGAGTAGGCCGCACAGGGCAGCCGCCCTTGGCTGGCTCACGCTGCCCATCGGGCCTGACGGATAGCGTGAGCCAGCCAAGGGAGGGGCACTGTGTGTGTGTGTGTGGGGGGGGGGCGCTCCTCCTCCGCGGGCCGGATAAGTGCCCTTGGTGGGTTGGAAGTGGCCCGCGGGCCGTAGTTTGGGGACCCCTGTCGTAGACAGTGTGATAAACCACACGTGTGATCTCCTTCAGTGGAGACCCCCTTTCTCCCTGATAAACTCGGAAGTGAATTTCCCTTCCGAGGAGTAGATTACTCTCACTTCCTGTTGTCTCACCTCCGTTCTTAACTGTGAGTCAGAAGTTACTGCACGTATTTGGGTTTGCGTAAAAAAAAATTCAGGAGCAAAGGGATTACAAATCTTTTCTCATGTGGAAAGTGTTGTGAGGGGAAAAAGTTGTAAGAAGCCTTGACATACATAGATCAAAGAAACAGGTGAAAAAAGATAGGAAACCTACAACAACCCAGTGATTCCGGCCATGAAAGCCTTCGACAATGTATTGTTTATTATTTAGGTAATTGGCTATGTGTGTTATTATGCTTTGCTCAATTTTATGTAAATCTCTTTTCTATCTACTGTACGCCACTTTGAGGCCCACCCATGGGAGAAAAAAAGAAATAATAATAATAATAATAATAATAATAATAATAATAATGGGTTGTTGTAGGTTTTTTCAGGCTATATGGCCATGTTCTAGAGGCATTTTCTCCTGGCGTTTCACCTGCTCTCTGGATGCAGGTGAACTACAACTCCCAAACTCAAGGTCAATGCCCACCAAACCCTTCTAGTGTTTTCTGTTGGTCATGGGAGTTTTGTGTGCCATGTTTGGTTCAATTCCATCATTGGTGGAGTTCAGAATGCTCTTTGATTGTAAGTAAACTATAAATCCCAGCAACTACAACTCCCAAATGACAAAATCAATTTTTTTGAGTGATGGTCACTCCTTGGGTTAGTAGGTGTCTTGTGTCCAAATTTGGCGGCAATTCGTCCAGTGGTTTTTGAGTTATGTTAATCCCACAAACGGACATTACATTTTTATTTATACTAGCCATCCCCTGCCACACGTTGCTGTGGCCCACATGGGGGTTCTGTGTGGGAGGTTTGGCCCAATTCCATCGTTGGTGGGGTTCAGAATGCTCTGTGATTGTAGGTGAACTATAAATCCCAGCAACTACAACTCCCAAATGTCAAGATTCTATTTTCCCCGAACTCCACCAGTGTTCACATTTGGGCATATTGAGTATTCGTGTAGAGTTTGTCCAGATCCATCATTGTTTGAGTCCACAGTGCTCTCTGGATGTAGGTGAACTACAACTCCAAAACCAAAGGACACTGCCCACCAAACCCTTCCAGTATTTTCTGTTGTAGAAAACTGTGTGCCAAGTTTGGTTCAATTCCATCGTTGGTGGGGTTCAGAATGTTCTTTGATTGTAGGTGAACTATAAATCCCAGCAACTACAACTCCCAAATGACAAAATCATATTTTTTTTAGTGAAGGACATACATTGGGTTGTTAGGTGTCTTGCGTCCAAATTTGGTGTCAATTCGTCCAGTGGTTTTTGAGTTCTGTTAAATCCCACAAACAAACATTACATTTTTATTTATATAGACGATGAAATATTTAGTAGTAAATAAAGAATGTGTAGTACACAGATATGTAATATAAGTTGTAATTGGGGAAAGTTAAAAACTGATAAGTATCTTGAAGGTGTGTATGATTTTTTTTTATTATTCTTTGTGTAAAATATGGCATCTCTTTCCAAGATATTGTAAAAAGGGGAAAGGATGTACACTTATACAGTTTGATTGACATCTATAAATAAAAGTTTTGAAAAAGGAAATATCTGTGCAGCATGAGATTATTTGTAGTCTTTGCTTCCTTTTCTCTGTTCCTTGTAGGAGGGTGAGTGCTTTGTGTCTGCTTCACAGTTTGGATAATTACCGGAGTCAAAATCATGTCCTTTGTTTCATTAATGCTAACGTGTTCTTCTGTCAGCATTTCGCTTTGTTTGCTCCTCAAACTGGCAAAAGAGGATTCTAATAGCTCCGGTGTTCCTTACATTCCAAGGCCTTGGAAGTAAAACTTCTCTGAAAGTAAATTCAATTTCTGATTATATTCTGGACAGCCTTGGCTTTTGCAAATGGCCTGACTTGGTTTAGTTTATTGCAGCCAGAGGCCAAGTTAACCCCAAATCTGTCAAGGGCTTTGAGAAAGATAAATTTGGGAGTATGAGGTCGAAATATATTCTATTTACTACTGAAAGTGTGCTGCTACGGCTGTACCAGGAGCTCCAACTTTTCCTTTCTATTGAGTGTTTGCATGTATTCCAAAGTTCCATGCATTTTGCAATAAGGTGGCTTCCCTTAGTTTGCATTCATAGGGCCAATGACCCATCAATTATCATTATGTTATTTAGTTCCGCCCTTTTTTTGGGTTAATGAGGGGAAAAAGGGGACCTCTAGTTCAGTTCACACAGAGAAGCCTTTCATACAGGATGTGAATCAGTTCCACCTGTAGAAAGCTTCGTCTTTTACAGCTTTGCTGGGGGGATCCAGTCCCACAGCTCTACAGAGAACTACAGCATAGCCTTTGTTGGGGAATTTAGTTCCACAACTCTACAGCCAGCTCTTTGCTGGAGAAATACAGCTCCACGGTTTTACAACCAGCCTTTGCTGGGAATTAAAAGCCTTCTTTCCTCTTGGAAATCTTCTAAAGGACTCTGTTTGGTGAGGACCACTCGCAGCAGCCATAACGCAATTTGGACGGGTGTAGGGGCCC